CCGATGAAGTGAGCTGTAGCTCACGAAAGCTCATGCTCAAATAAATTGGTTAGTCTCTAAGGTGCCACAAGTACTCCTTTTCTTTTTGCGAATACAGACTAACACGGCTGTTATTCTGAAACCTGTAAATCAACAGTAGCTCCATTGAGCAATGGATTTGCACTGTGTAAACCAGTTTAAGTGAGAGAACTGAGCCCAGTGTCTTTAACTGAGAGGTGCACAGAGGGTGACTTGTCCAAGGTTGCCCAGAGTCCATGGCAGAGCCTAGAGTGGGATCTCTTGACTCCCATTTATTTGCGTTAGCCCCGAGACCAGTCTTCCCCCTATCAATCACATCAGTCTCCCCAGAGCTCTAAGATTTTTCACTTCTGTCTATCTGTACATTTATATTAATCAAATTGGAATTAAAAGCATTTGGGGCCTTGCAATCCTGGAGATTCTAAAAGTTCCACTGTCAACTGAAATTGTACTTTGAGTCTTAAATTCTACTCTCTGAAGCACCTGTAGGTGAAGCTGCTCTCAGCAGAGAGAAAAACATTAAATGGGGGATCGAGGGGAATAAATCCTATACAACCAAGCTTCATATCTACTGGCAGTCCAACTACAACTAGATGTAACCCCTTCTCTGCTGAGAACCACTGTAATGCCTGTGGTGAAGAAACTTTTGGTGTTCTCTGAAGTGCCAAAGGAACTTCACCCAACTGGCAACAGATGTCACTGCTATGGAGTTTGTGGTGCTGTACAGGAGGGAGCTAACGTTCACTTTCCATTAGAATGCTAGAAGGATTCAGGTATGTGATGCAGTAGGCAAGCAGAAAGCTGCCCTTTTTCCCTGCTCAGCTGAGAGCAACTTCAACCCTAGCTGTAGATACTTCAGAGAGATACCATGATACAGGATGAAAATGAAACAAAACGTGCCATTTTTAGCTGGCACAGAACATTTAAGATCCTAAAGCCTCTAGTGTCATTAATTGATTTTTAAATGGGATTAAATGGATTTTTAAAAGGTTTGAAGAACTATTAATATCTTCATTTTTTTTAATATTCATTGTCTCCATTTTATAGTGAAAATAATGCTCTTCTCTGTCTATGTTGGTGAATGTGAGAGCGAAAAGAGAAGGTTAAAAGCCATGGTCATGTAGAATTTCCCTGTGCTAAAAAAAAACAAAAAACAAAAACACCCTCCTGCTGTTGGTATTTGAAAGTTCATCTCCACAAGGATTAGAATTATATTTACTAGTCATTTTCCAGCAGGCTTGTAGCCAGCATGGTTCTGGCACACTTTCAATGTCCAGTGTGGACAGGGATTTAAAAAACTAAAAAAAAACACCCATCCTAGTAAAACCTGGGCGGGGGAACACTCCTTATCATAAAACCTGTCTTATGGAGCACCAACTTTTTGAAGCTGTGCATAGTTTGGTTAAGGATCCTTCCACCATATCCCTCGTTGAGATGGAGATAAGGAGGTCCCAACAAGGACTGCATGCACCGCCATTTGTGTGCTCACTCTAACTGTAGGGAAGTCTGAAAATCTTGAAAGCTTGCCTCATCCCTTTGATGCTCCTCTTTGCTCTTCACGAGGCGGTTCATGACGTGGTTGACTTGCAGGTCCCCCTGCAAGTCAACTGTAGTGTCAATGTCACCTCGTTGTACAGGTGGAGAATGCTGGATGGTCATTTCCCTCCTTTGACATCAGATCTCCCCAGTGGGTGGCCTGCTCCCTCCTTCTGCCTGCACGTCTCCTCTGCTTGGGCTAGCAGATCTGTCACTTTAAAATAAAATAATTAGAAAAGTGACATCTCTGCCGCCATTCCCATGAGAACTGCTAATCTCAAGAGAATGGAAAGAGGGAAGAGGGGATCAGTGCTTCTCACTGGGATGAAAGATTTCCAAGTGATAAGTGTGTTATTCTCATAGCAGATAAGTTATGTAAGTTAATATTATCTAAGATGTGTACATGGTAAAACTTTATTTATAATGTTTTCTAAGGCTACTGTGTAAGATCCTGAACTGTGGGTGGGGATAAATAGGTAAGATAAAGGGAATTAAACTATTCATTATGACATTTCAAAGACTTTGAACTCTTAGCTCTTGTTTTATGTCTCCATGTGCTTTAAGCAGTCTCTGATCGTTTCCAATTTGGTTTAACATTAAGAAAAAACAGTAGTTGTGCACTTGAAAATAATATCGGTCTTTAACATCATCATTGGCTCTAGAGCTTAAGGGCACATCTTACAAGAACATAAGAACGGCCAAACTGGGCCAGACCACAGGTCCATCTAACCCAGTATCCTGTCTTCCAACAATGGCCAATGCCAGGTGCTCCACAGGGAATGAACAGAACAGGTAATCATCAAGTGATCCATCCCCTGTCGCCCATTCACAGCTTCTGTCCATCCTGGCTAATAGCCATTAATGGATCTATCCTCCATGAATTTATCTAGTTCTTTTTTTGAACCTGTTATAGTTTTGGCCTTCACAACATCCTCTGGAAAGGAGTTCCAGAGGTTGACTGTGAGTTATGTGAAAAAATACTTCCTTTTGTTTGTTTTAAACCAGCCGCCTATTAATTTCATTTGGTGACCCCTAGTGCTTGTGTTATGAGAAGGATTAAATAACACTTCCTTATTTACTTTCTCCACACCAGCCATGATTTTATAGACCTCTATCATATCCCCCCTTAATTGTCTCTTTTCCAAGCTGAAAAGTCCCAGTCTTATTAATCTCTCCTCAGATGGCAGCTGTTCCATACCCCTAATCATTTTTATTGCCCTTTTCTGAACCTTTTCCAATTCCAATATATCTGTTTTGAGATTGGGCAGCCACAGCTGGACACAGTATTCAAGATGTGGGCGTACCATAGATTTATAAAAGCTTCTAAGTCACCTGCTTGCTGGAGATGATTGATTGGATTTAGAAAATGCTTCCTTATCATTGGTAATAAGGATTAACTGGCATTTCCTAGTAATTCTTACGATTCTTTATTGACTGTCCGTTTTTCTCCTGACATTTTCTATATGACCCTTCACTGCCTGGGGTCATATAGATCCTGTGAAGAAGCACAAACATCACTTTCCTATATGGACAAATGCTCTGTAGCTAGCCACTCCAAAGAAAATAATGAACCCATCTTCAAAAGCTATGTCCCAAATTTCACTCTTTTAATTTTCCTTTTAAATGTGTGTCGTAACTTCACAGTTGACACACAGCCACCTACCAATGCATTATGCAAACAACATAGAGGGAATTCAGTGCATTCAGTGTTTTTAATTGTACGTTGAGTGTGTCTATTTCAAGTTATCAATATTATGTATAGATAGAAATCTAATAAGCAAGCGTCTTCTGTGCTTTTGCTGTTTAAAAAAGAAAAGCAGCACCACTTTTCCTCAGCAGAGTGTTCTGAAAGTACTGGTGATGGCAATTACTTTTCATATAGCAAAATAGCCAAACTAAGAGGGAAACTGGAGCCAATTTTTAACAATGTTTTATACTATATATATTTTAATCACACTTATATCCACCTTGCAAAATTCTTTTTGCCTCCTCACTTGGGACTTTACCCAATATTCATTGAGGTCAATGGGCATTGGATCAGGTCCCTAGAAAGCATTTTTTAAGTGCTAAGTAAAGTGTTATCATAAGAGTGGCAAGTAGATTTTGTGCCCAAGTTCGTAAAATTACATTACAGTTTTGGCACAAGCTTTACAGATGATAAACATATTTCATCAGTAAATATTTTGTGTCATCTGAAATAATATAGTGGAGTCCAATACAAGAGCTACTAATAGCCATTTTAGCTCTCATTATGCTTTCATGCTAGTTTAATTACTTAAGAAAAAATGTTACTATTTAGTATTTATGTTATGTTATGTTAGACCATAAAACAGCTTTAGGCTCTCCAGTGTTTGACTCCTGCACAAATAAAGTCAATTTCAGTAATATGAACTTGAGCAGCAGCTAACTTAGAAATGTTCATATCATTATACATTTCAATTTCAAATACAGAGGGCAACTTTTTCTGTGCACCCTGGAGAAAACAGTGCTGGGGGAAATGGGCATTATATTATAATAAAACACTGTAAAGAACCTACTTTAGTTTCCCAGTTATGAACAAACAGCTGAGCAGTCTCAGTGTATTAACTAGACTAGAGGGTGTGTGAAATATTTATAACAAAATTCAAAAGGCTTGAATTCTCATCATCTATCCATTTAACATTTGCTTGCAACATTAAAACGTTCCTTTGTAACAGCATTGTTTTCAAGAAAAAAATATTTGCACTGTAAATCAGACAAAATATCATTATTTTGCATATTTTCACAGCTGGCTTATCATTTTTATGACATTTCAGGAAAAGTAGTGGTGTGGAAAAGGGCAGAATGAAAATGCCTAAAACTGTATTCAAATTCTGCATAATTTTTGCACAGCCCTAAAAGGGATTGTGTCTTTGTGCCTGTTGTAGGTATTTTGTGGGATACATTGTAGTATCTGGGGGGTTGTCTGGGATACATGCAGTACAGTGGGATAATGTGCACTATAGAGGGTGCGAATTATAAAATGCACTAACAAGTTGTGCATTAATTGGTGCAAACTAATAATTCCCTAGTGTGATTTAACAACATTATGTTAGGGAACTTTTAGAGTGCACCAGCAGGGTCTCCACAGACCAATTAATGTGCAACACATCAGAGCACTTTAGAAATCACACTTCCCCTTGCCCCCATAGAGAACATTACCCCGTTGTGTAGACAGACCCTGAGCACCATCTTAAATTTTGCAGTGTTGAGCATACTTGGCATGCTGTAAATGGGCAGAGTAAAGCAGCCTAGCACTGGAGAACAAGAGTGACCATTGTGAGTTGATATGTAATTACTGTAACTGAGTATTCATCATAATTAGTGATTAAATAAAATAAAACTATTGTTTACATAAAATAAAGTATTGTACATATGCATCTTTTTCACTGAAACTTGTCCCAATGTTTGATGTTGTCCTCATGCAGGATGGATGGTCACAGTATCACTTTGTAGCCTCATCTTCAACAATAGAGAGGGATCGGCAAAGACCATACTCTTCATCACGCACGCCCTCCATCTCTCCAGTGCGCATGTCTCCTAATAATCGCTCAGGTAAGACCATGCTTCCAGGGCTGAAGTAAACAGAGAAGTAATCTAGTAATGTCATCTTTCCATTGTTAAGTGCCAGTCAGTAGCATCTAGATGCATTATTAACCATGATGGGAGCATGTGGGAAACATTTTTTCATTCTGTCAGTGTATCTTTGTATACAGGAATATTTTTTATTTGTGTGAATGCCTTGTAGAAATGTAAAGCAGACAGACTATCCAGTGTAGCCTTTTACTGTGAATGTCCATTCACTATTTTCCTTGTCCACTGGCCAGTTAAGATTATCTGATTGGGAAAGTGAAAATTCCCAGGGCCATTGTGCCTACTGTTAGCATTGGGAAGTTCCCCATCTCAGATGCTTCCAAGTAATTTTCTTTACTAGTCATAGAAACCACAAATTCATTTGTTATGTATGTTTTATACTGTTAGCCAGAACTTCAGCTTCGTGTAAATCATCATAACTCCACTCCAGTCAATGGATCTACACCAATGTTCGTCAGCTGGGCATCTCATTATGGATGTATTTGCAGAAGGATTGACTGCAACTCTACATCTAATATCAATGCCATGAACATATAAACTGTAATTAACTGCAATTTCATCCACTGTAGAATTATTTCTGTCTTACATAGAGGAATCAATTCAGTTTTCACATGAGAATTCAGGCCTCTTTTTCCTCCACTTATTCCAAGTTAAAATATTTAATTACTTTAAATGAAAGTAATCCTCAATAAAAATAAAGTCTTTTAAAATAAACATAGTAAAATCCTATCAGCCTCTCACTTTGCATTTTACTGCTTGCTCTGTTAAACCTCTGTCATTAAGAACATAAGAATGGCCATACTGAGTCAGAACAATGGTCCATCTAGCCCAGTAACCTGTTTTTCCAACATCTGGTGTCAGATGCTTCAAAGGGAATGAACAGAGCAGGGCAATTTGTCAAGTGGGGCTTTGGCAATTTGTCAAGTCCCAGCTTCTGGCAGTCAGAGGTTTAGGAACACCCAGAGTGTGCGGTTGCATATAGCCCCCGATCAAGTTATCTAATTCTTTTCTGAGCCCAGTTATACTTTTGGCCTTCACAACATCCCCTGGCAATGAGTTCCACAGGTTGATTGTGCATTGTGTGAAGAAGTACTTCCTTATCTTTATTTTAAACCTGCTGCCTATTAATTTCATTGGGTGACCCTGTGTTATGTGAAGGGGTAAATAACATTTCCTTATTCGTTTTCTCCATAGCATTCATGATTTTATAGGCCTCTATCATGTCCCTACCTTAGTCATCTCTTTGCTAAGATGAACAGTCCCAATCTTATTAATCACTCCTCATATACAAGTTGTTCCACAGTTACTGGGATATCAGCAGTAAGATGTGTTTGGCTAAACTACTTACACCCTAGTGCAAAAGTGATTGTTTTTTTATGTTTGTTTATCTAAGAGTCTAGTCTTAATCTACAAGGGCAACGTGCTGAGCTATTTTGAAAGTCTGGCCACAAGTATCCCCATAGTCGTGGCTGAGTACTAAGCACTTCCAAAAATCTGCTCTTCATACAGGCACCTAGATGGGTGCCCTTTTGAAAATCTGACTGTCATTGTGAGTGCTGAGTGCTTGAAAAATCTGGCCCTGAGCTTCAGTGAACATCTGACTCCAAGTATCTCCTGCTTTCTGTTGTTTGTTCAGTTCAAGGAGGGAATCTAACTTTGTCTAATATATAGGACTCTACCTTGCCCCATCCCTCCACCCCCCCCCCAAAGTCAGTACCATAAAGTCAGTCCATCGTCAACAGACAATTTCATGAATGCTTCCAGTAAAAACTCTGCAGGAGTCCACTTGTGGATTTGATGGTGGAGAGCTGTTGCTCACACAGAGTGAATAGATATAGTTCCTCCAGGGAATGGACAGACAGTTATGTTTTATCATTTGGACAGTGTACAAAAAGCTGCATGCTTAACATGACCATTAGTGTTTTGATGTCTTAGCAATGTCTTAGCACCCCTTTGGAGCTATGTTTTGTATGTTGTCCTGTTAGATTCTGGCCGAGGACACATGTTGTCCAAAACCATATTCTGATTCTGATTGGGTCTTTTTGGTGGTGTCAGAGTCCTAAAACCATGCTAGATAGTTAGCTGACAATCGCTTTAAGAGCAATCCTCAGTTTTAATGGATACATAAGCACAGCCAACTGCTTAACATTAGTTCTTAAATCCAGGGGTCCCAACCGGGGGAGAAAATTTAATCAAAATTCCAAATTGATGCAAAATTGTTACCTTAATCCTAACAAGAAAAATGCAGTGTAAATTAGGACTCCTGGAGGAAATGACCAAAGATTAAGGTTTATGCATGAGTTTTTACAGAACTTTTTGTAAACTATAGAAATATTACAGTGTAATAAGCTGAACCATTATCAAACATCAGTGTTCTTTCTAAAAAATTACTATGTATTAACATATCCTTTAAAGGTTAAACTCGAGTAAAACAATACCCGCTTAACAGGAAAAGAACAGATATGAGACCAGAGAACAAATTTCTGTCCTTGTGATTTAAGTAATGAACAGAACAGTTTCAAAAATAAAGGACACAATAATTATAAATGTCCACTTTTTGTCATGGTAAGGAGGACATGAAAGTGCTATTATTCATTGTTATTACAATACCACACTAAAAATATACCAACCACCTTTTCTAAATATGAGGAAAGGAAATTTGCCTTCATTAAACCAGATGTTTAAAGGAGTGAAGTTCAAATAACATACTAAACAACAAATGTAAAGGTTATACTTGTGCCCTACATAAAAATCTTAACTGAAACTCACTTTTAATCTTAATTCTTGTTTTAGCATTGTCACGTTAACAGCCGTAAGTATCCACTTTGTTTCCTAAGCAGTAGAAAACTTTTAAAGAGTGCTGGGAAGTCTCTAAGTGAACATTGAGGGGTCCAGCCAATACCCCAATGTTATATAATACTTTATCTCTCATTAGTCTTTCTTGACTTCATTTCTTTGATAAGAGCTGGGGTAGCGCACTTGAATTGGTCCAATTATTTTCAGTCTAAATCTATAATATTTTCTGAAAACTCTTGAAATGAAATCCTGGCCCTATTCAAATCAATGGGAACTTTGTCATTTACTTCAGTGAAGCCCGTATTTCCATTTTTCATTGACATTTCCCATTAATTTTTGTCATCACTATTTTGAAACTTTCCAGCTAAACTCTAGGCAGACACCACTTCCAAGTCTCATCCCATATGCTGAGAAACAGAAGCCAGGGTTCTCTCTGGTGTGTATTGATTTTGTGAGAGCCAAAGCTTTTGCCTTTCTGTCCATCTATTCAAGTTTGTGTCATGAGAAGAAACGCTAGTACCTCCTCTGATATTGAGATCAAAATGGAAAAATAAATACCAATACTTGGAGAAAATTGTTTTTATAAGTGAGTGCATTCACTAGGCATTCACTGCTCAAACGCTATCCTCGCATTTTGCTCTCTCTCCAATGTTTTGCCCATGTTTACTAATCTAGAGTAGATAATTACTGAGCCATTCTGCCTTAAATATACACACACAGAACCTCCATTTATTTCCGTGGAACTTGCATATGTGTATGCCTGGGGAAAAAATAGTTTTTGGGGCCCCAAATTACATAACAAATCGGGGCAATTATTGAATTGTTCCGCGTGCACTTTGGGGATCATTTTTCAGATGCACTCAGGTCCCATGTAAGCACCCATATAACAGCTTGATTTTCAAGAGTTCATGTCCCTTTGTGACACTTCTGGACAGTTTTCAAAAGAACTCATCATTCAAGGGACTGAGCTTTCGAAAATCTCCTCACTTCTTTTGATGCCTAAATGAGCTTTTTGAAAATTTAACTATAAGACTTTAAAATGGGGTGTTTGTTTGTTGTAACATTAGAGCTTAATGGGAAGTTTAGTATCAACATGGACAATGATCCTCCATCACCCTTGTTCCCAGATTTGAAATATGTAGGTATAAAATCCCTTGATTCATTAAAATTTGGAACCAGAGCTTAATTCTGTCCCTGTCTCTCTGCCCCTCCCCCACAAAACAGGATGTTTAACGGGTGTTGGAATTTCTCAAGGAGACCCTCACACTTATTTTATTGACTTTACGCAGCTTGGGTCAAAATTCTGGTCTCCCAAGCAATATTCAGTGAGATTCCCATGATACTTGGGGTAAAATACAGAGTGAAAAGGGAAGATGTTGGCATAATGCAGAAAGTATTCAGTAAGGAGTTGCACTGTAGTTGTTAGCACAGCACCTCGAGTTAGAGGCTTCTTTTTTCTGTTTGGGGAATTGGTTAATGCAACCTGTGGGTTTTGCTGTGTTTAAAATTGTGAAACAGCGAGAAGGGCCTCAGGAAAATCATGTTAACAGGTATAACAGCAGGACACTATTCACCTCCCCCCAGCCTTCCTTGTGTGTGATGGTCATTCGCTCCCAGCTGGAGTAAACATAGACTGCAGTAGCAATCGTTTTGCCATGAGTTTACCAGCAATCAAAAACAGATTTACCACTAGAGACCTTACCAAGTCCACCGTGATAATACAAAAGCTTTCTTGCTGGTAGCATCTAGGGAGAATATTGCTGACATCCTTTTTAATAAAGATTTAACCTTGCACGTCCCTTGCTGGCCAAGAAACCCTTGATTTCTCGTTAGATTTGATCACACATAAAAGCGGAGCTCTCCAAGATGAAATACATTTGTGACACCATTTCCAAACATGGGGCAGTTTTATTTTTCCTGGAGGGATATTCTTTTGGATTTCCAGACAGAGAGTGAAAGAGAAAGAACTATGTGACATTATTTTTCCCTAAAAAGGGCCTGATTTTTAAACAGTCATTAAAACAAACTTGCCATTACCCAAGCTATTAAAAGAAAACCCTCCTCTTACCATTGCTCCGTGGCTGGGAATCCCTCTTTATTTGTGTTCCCTCCTCTTTAAAGATTCTTAGTGCTTTTGAATAAATGAAACTAAAAATCCTCAGAACCCGTTGGATTTGGTTGCATGTAGAAATGTAAATGCCTAATAACAATTGGAAAACCCCACCAAAAATTATTCTTCGTGCAAGAAAACTTTGACGGATAGACAGACTTGGGGAATCTATAAAGTACTGGGAATTGCAGAGCCCTGCAGCATCCAGAGTACCTTAGGAGACTGTGTCGAGGTGTTCATTTGTTATTGGGTTAACTTTTGTCAAAGGCTGAGAAAATACATTATCCCCCAGAAATATTTAATCAAACTTTTCTTATCTTTGGGAGAAAGACCCCAGAATTGGTAATAGGGGTCTCAATGGAAGAAAAAAAACCCTCTATTCTTAAACTGGTTTGGGGGAAATAAAAGTTTAAGAAATACATTAATAAGTCCTAATTGTTGCCCTAATATCCAACATATCTCTATTTTATGAACACTTTATCATAAACCTTTACTAACGTATTTGTCATCTAAATACTACAGTGAGTAGTGCTTTAGATAGGTGCAGCCAGCAATGCAGTTAAATACACTGTCCACCCTCAACATTTGCTAGTTTAGATACTTTAGATAACTAAATTATGTTATTCCAGTATAGTCAGAAAGACAGACTATAAGAATTAAAAAGAATTGCTATATGAAATCCCATTGTTTTTCCATCACCTGGAATAGGAATTAATTATGATGATTATTTGGTACAGTACTTTTGGTAGAGGCTCACTTTTTAATGATCATTGCTGTATATAGAGATAATCACACCCCTAATACTAGAGTCAGAATTATTGGAGTTACTTTCAAGCATTGAGCACTTATCTGAAGATTTGTACATATCTTGTTTTTTTAGTTAAAGTTACATTTTCCGTACTAATGCCTTTTTTTCCTCATAACAGTTACATGGTTCCTGTTTATTTTCAAGTAATGAAACAAAGAATCCCACTTATAAGGGTTTTTCTGCTCCCTGTTAATCATTATAAAAGTCTTTTCCACAAAGGAGAAACTGATGATACCTAGGGAAGTAAACCTGACGATGCAAAATTGTTGTCAAATGTACAAATTAAAGAAATGGAAAGGATGAAGAAAAATAAAATTGCTGCTTATGTCATTCCATTGTGATCATCTTAGCTGTTACATGTAAATGGAGAAGGAACAAAATGCTCAGACAGAAATGCAGTTTTTAATAATTGCCTTTAATACATTTGTCATATATTTGAAATAGCAGCACCTCTAACCCCTTTCTAAATCCAATTCTGCCTACACACTTCACACAGTTTAATTCCTATATATTAACAAATGTAAATATTACTAAATTGTTTACCCCAGATGTGCTTGCAGTGGTCTGAGGGGAGAAAAATTATTTGTTTTTACTATCTAGCAAGTGCCCCTGCCTCACCTCGGGAAATGATCAGTCTAAAAGAAAGGAAAACAGACTACGAATCAACTGGAACAAATGTCGCTTACCATGGTAATAAAGGAGAACACACTTCCAGGAAAGACACCATGACAGGTGAGATGGTGCTTACACATCACATATATAAATTGACTGTAGTAGACACATTTTCTAGGCTTGGCTGAGTTTACTGTAATAGTGAAAGAGATCAACTTCTGTGATGTCTGAGTACCTCATAGATATAAGATTGAAAGTAAAAGGAATCTTATTAGTACAACTCCTTATAACAATCAGGAGTGGCCCTGTACTTTGTAACATCTAATCCTATTACAACATGGACCTGTAGCGATGTCATGATGCCTGGATATTTCCCCCCACTATTACATCTGTAAAGATCTTGGAGGATTCCAAGACCGGATTCTCTGCCAGGTTCTTAATGTTGCTTGGGACACCATCAGCATGCTGATTCAATACCAAACTTCCCATGCTACAATCTGTATCCAGAAGTTTGCATTCAAGATCAGTTTCCTGTGCTGTACAGTACTTGGTAACCAAAACCCTGCAGATTATCATCTGAGTTTACATGGAGGAGCAACATGCAAGAAGATGAATTAACATGAAATCTAAGAAGTGATATAAGAAATGGGACAACAACCAAATAGATTTTGCACACTATTGAGAGCCTGGGAGTCCTAACGTCTGCCTCTGGCCTTAGGAGACAATTCAGCAGGCCATTGCATGGGGAAGCAGCAAAGAGAAAGCCATTCATTCATCTAAGGTACTGTATTTGACATTAGTTTTCGGTATTTGGGATGTTTGCGAATGACTTGTAATCACACTGAATAGAGTTGGTCTACCCTACCCTGACGTGACATTGCTGCCATTCACTTTTTCCTGTCACCCAAACAGTGTCATTGTAAAGGTCATTACTGACATGATTGTGGAGGACAGGTCTGTGTTCAGCTATTGTTACACTTTGTCAGGACCTTGGGTACATCCATGAAGAGGGCTTGTCAGGATCCAGTTTGGCAGTAGGGAAGGGCGAAGGATACCATTTCCTTTTTAAGGTATCTGAAAGTTCAGGCAAGCATAGTAAGTAAGAATGATCACAGGGGAGGGCATTTTCTGACAGTTTATGACACATCTTTTACCTTGTTTCTTTTTGCCTCTTTTTAAAATCCATGTTCATTTCTCTTCCATTTCATCTCCCCACCCTTCTCTCTTTTTTCTCTTTACTGCAGTATCTCTGGCCTCTCTTTTTCTTTCTTTACTTCACTCATTCCCCCTTGTTTGCTGTTTTTTAAGGAATGGAGATTGGCACTGCCCCAACCCCTTTGTTCCATTTTGAGTTACACTCCCTGTTGTGCCTAAGTCCCCATGTCTCCCTCACCCATTGTAACTGCTTTTTCATGGGGTTCTGTGTAATAAAGTGTTTGCATCAAACTTCAAGCCACCCAGCCTACTATCCAGCTACTCGCCCCTTTGTGAGAGATGAGTAACAACGTCAAATTTAAAAGATCTACTGTAGTTCCTAGTACTGTACATGCATTGTATATTTGAAACAGGAGTTCATGAATCACATTCTCTCTTTCAGGTTGCCAAATCTCAACCCTTTACAGTTGGTCTGACATCAAATGAAGAGCCATTTGAGGAAGGCAAAGCCTATAAATAATTTAAATAGAGTCAATAACTCTATTAGTATGTGTTGACTGTAACAAATGTACAGATCACCTTTACAAAGTATTTGTCAGTTGTGATAGAGAAATAAGAAGCGACAACAACCATGTAAAAGAAACCAGGTGAACTGGATAAGAATATTTCAATAAAAATAAAATCAATCTTTTTGTTTTTTGTTGTGAGATATTCTGTTGTACTGGGCTGTTCTCCTATTTGCCTGGGTTTACATCCTGTAACAAGGGGTAAGGATTCCCTCACTGCCTGCAGTACATACTTTGCATGTCCATCACTGAACTGTAGTCAGTACATGGATGGGTTGTAAAGGAGCATGTGGGGTTTAGAGAAATATTTTTCCAAGTTGGAGTTGTGATGCATAGATTTCCTCTTATTCTGTGGCACAATGAAAAATGCTCAGTGCAAGATATGTAGGCAATTTTCCCACTGACTTATGTAGCATGCATATCTACCAATATATCCATATGCCCATTTATCCACAACTGTCCCAGATTTTACAAAGCCATTCCCAGGTTACAGTCCCAGACAATGTCCTGTGAACTGTTGGTTGCTACCTGATAGGGTTTGGGTTTTTTTAAATAGTACTGTTGGCCTCCTATCACTAAGTGAATATGTGGGGAAGTCTGTGAAGCCTGCAGAAAAGAGTGAAAAAGCTATGAAATAAACAACTGAGTAAAAAGTGTTAAGATCCTTATTAATGAATTAAGCAGCTCTGAAATACCATTGATTTCCTGAGGCCAACTAAGAGAAAAGGAGGAACCGTATGACCATTCTCCTTTGCTCTCTCTGCTTTTATAACACCTTGCTACATTTACAGGTCATCACACAACTAGCCTATTTTTGAGGACTGTAAAAATAATAAGAAACAACTTAAAAATGAAACAAACCTATTATGTTCTTTAAAAATGTTTGACTACCATAAATAAATGCCATAGCTTGACTCTCAGCCATTCCCCTCCTGATCAGGGAAAACAAGGTTTTGATATGCTTTCATGGGATTTGTGCTCTGAAGATCATTTTTCTTGTACTTCGTGGCTTCTCCTGTTGAACTGACATTAAGCATCACCGTCTGTGTCCTATATCAACCACTCCAGGAGCAGAAGCATCTTTTGGATCAACATTTTCCAGGTTTACTTTAAAGAATGTCCATTTCCCTTCGATGCCAGTGTTCAGGCTTACTCCTCTAATGGCCTGCACACATTCCAGGTGCCCTGAAAATGCATTCTGAACACAAACAGGAGGGAGTGCATCTGAAATATCTTTCTCCAGCCATTGCTAAAGGAACTTTTACCTCTTGCTTTTCTTAAAGAAACCATCATACAAAGGTATGTACATACCATACGCCAGTGTCACGTCTTCCATCATGCAGGAAGCTGGGAGTGATAAGAAGGCAGGAGACCATCCCCGCTCCCTGGCTGGTATTTGTATAACATGCAAATCTTCAACTTTACTGCTCTGAACTATGTTTTAAAAGAGGAGCTCTGCTGAATGTAACGGAAGAAGCAGAACATGCAGTACAAGGGGCAGATGACTGGCTATAACTGATTTATCCTTCCCTTTCTTGCTGACTATCAGACTATGTTTATGAGAGCATTGGGTTAGTGACTTCTTGTTTCAAAGTACTATAAATGTGTCCAGAGTCAGCAGTTTTTGGAACATGAAACTTGAATGTTAATCTTAAACCATGAATCAAGTAAGTGAACTAAGATATATGGGAAGACTTAGGTCAGTGATATCTTTATCACATAAATATCTAGCTATATCCTTTTCAAAGCTGGTCTTAAGGTTATCAGTGTGTTCTTCACAGAATGCTGCTGAGGAGAATTATTTGTCTGCTAACTTTTCACCAATATAATCCTTGGCATCTTATAAAATAATATGGGTAGTTTAGATTTATATAGCATCCTTCACACCAGGGGACCACAGAGTTCTTCACAAACTGTATCATAGTGGCCCTTAAAAACTTCCCAGTTTTACTTTATATAAATGGATATGGTAACATCAGCATCTGCAGTCGTCACTTGTACTTACCTATTGTTACTACAGAAAATACACGCTGAAATATTAATTCATCCATCACCTAAATGCAGCCACCTCTGGGGTGTAATGTGGCAGCTCCAATTCCCATAGTCACATTTGCTGCCTCACTCTGTCTGACCACTATGCTTCTTTCTATCCTTCCTCTTCTCCCATTTCTTAAAATCACTTCCTTCTTCATCCTCCCTCTCCCGCCCCCTGATAATTTTACATGTCTTAATATGTATACAATCTCTCAGCAAGGGATGGGCCCTAACCACAAAATGTGGATTGATTCATCCCTCTCTCTCCTTTTCACTTGTCCTCATCCTCTTTAGCTTTTGACATCAATAGTCAACTGTTCATCCACGTATAGCGAACTTCTTAATTGATTCAAGAGATTAAGTTCTCTCATCTTCTCCCCTAAACTAGCCCAAGTTTCTGCTTTGGGAACTCTTGGTATTCCCAAACTCTTTGTATGCCATTTTTCCTTTAATAGGTTAAATAAAGGACTCTGTACAGTTTATGTTTTGCTTATATTTTACAATGTGAATTTGTGATTTGCATAATAATGTTTATACAAATTCCAAAGCTCAGCACCAAGAGGGGCTGCTCTGATCTCAAAGGCAGAGACTCCAGGTGGAGCTCAGTGTCCTCCCATAAAGACAGACCAGATAAAGGCTCAGGGATACAGCCACCGAGACCCACGTGGCTTTGAATTCTTCTGCTATGTGTCTGTGTGGTTTCCATGTACCTCAAGCACATGATGTTTGTTTGTTAGTGAACAGCAGTGTCCGTTGAGGCCGTGTATGCATTATCTAGCTCCTCATGCTGCTGTATGAGGGCATTAAGACCATGACCCTCTGTTCTATTTTACCACTCCTGCAGTGAAATGGAACCTGGCAAACTTCTGACCCACTAGTTTAGCTTTGGCTAAATTTCTTCAAACTCTTCGTAAAATCTTCATAACTTTTCTGATTCTGTGACAAACAATCACCATGAATGATACCAATCTATCTGGGCTGAGTATTTATATCAGACCCTGTGCACAGGTCCTCCAGACACTCCTCCTGTACAAGACTTCTCAATTTGGTGGATTTGAAATCTGTGGGCTTCAAGCTGTGTCTGTCCTGTGATGGACAATTCCATTGATGGATGAACACAGCAGGTGCCTCTTCTATTTAGGAGAGCCCTACATACCAAGTAAATGTTCAGTGTGCCTTTCATTCTCCATTATAAAATGTAAATTGTGAGACACGCAGTTAAAGCTTCCTCTGGAGCAATCTGTGAAGGTCTCTTGAGATCCTGAGAAAACAGGCATCTGGATCTGGGTAATGGACAAGTCAGCTTCCTTCAGCTCACTGTCTAGCAGGCAAGTGACTCCAAAGACCAGAGCAGAGAAGATGTCCATGAGGAAAGACCGGGCATTTGCACAGCACTGGTTCCTCAGGGACTATTGGCAGCAAAGCCATTGCTAACACCTACAGTACCAAAGCTCAGCACCAAGAGGGGCTGCTCTGATCTCAAAGGCAGAGACTCCAGGTGGAGCTCAGTGTCTTCCCATAAAGACAGACCAAATAAAGCCTCAGGGATACAGCCACCAAGACCCACGTGGCTTTGAGTTCTGGTAATAAGGAGCAGCCTGTGGCAGAGAGGAAGCCTTCTCTGGTGACACATCCCTCGGTGTCGATATCTACAGACAATGACAACACTCTGGGGACCATCATCAGTACCGAGACACCTACCCATACCAGTGCAAACCTTAGTACTGAAAGCATCATATACTTCAGCATCATCCACACATGTCACTGGGACATACATTCTCAACACCTTCAAACAGAGAACCTGCTCCTCTGAGATCTGTTACTGAAAGATCTGTTCAGCAGAAATGGCATTGCTCTGGTCAATACCAAACACCCTAAAGGCATGCCTCTGTGGCCCTATTGAGCTTATTGGGAGTCCGTCCTTACAGGCCTTTAGAATCTACTCTCCACCACATTTGAGGAAAAGGAATAGGTCGGTCTTCACATCTGCTCTTGTGCCCAGACAGTAGAAGCAGAGCAAAAACACCACCAAAGGACCTGTCATCTTTGTCACCTGACAAGGTGATCTCCTTGTCACCCATACCAGCCTGGATGTCTTCAAGTCTAAGAGCTGCTTATGAGAATAGCTGAAACTCTGGAGCTAAAGACTTCGGTCACATCAGAGGAATTCCATAAGTTCGACATTCTCACAATTGTCAGTCCAGAATGGTGAACCGCAGCAGCTGGGAGCTGTGGGCGCCATGCCTGTGAATAGTCAATGTAAACAAAGTGTCTCAAGCTGCAGGTTGCCCACCACTGGGCTAGAGCCTGGTGGCAGACACCAGCCATTATAACTACAACTGCAAAACAGGTAGAGAAAAGATACCAGGTCTCTCAATCTGGATTTGAGTACTTCCATGCTCACCACAACCCAGACTACTTAGATGTTTGAGCAGTGCAGTAAAAGTCTAAACCAAACAAGTGTACCTCTAAGGGGGTGGGGAAGTGAGGACAGTGACCCAAAAAGTCTCAATGTGTCTGGGAGAAAAATCTTACTATTACTGCTCTTTACAACTCAGAGTGGAAAGTTGCCAGGCCTTACTGGTCAACCTATTGGCCATACTCAACACCTGGAAAGAAGCAGCTAGGTTTCTTGGATGTTTCCAGAGCCTTGCTCTGTTGCCCGGACAAGACTAAACCCTTTAGACCATTTCTTCGTCTCTTTGTGATTATACTCGGCTCATCAGAAGGCCAAACTTTCTCATCAGAGAGACTTTTTAAGCGGATCACACAGTGTTGCTTCACCTGCTCTCAGGTAGCTGGTGAGCCTTTCCCTCTAAACGTCAGTGTACAATCCGCGCGCTCCACACCCTGCCCCAGGACGCAAGCGGCATCTCCAGCCTGATTCGGGAATGTGACAGTACCTGAGACTTGCAAAGCAACCTCCTGACTTTTGTCAAACATTGCACCCTTGCCATGGCAGCCAGGTCTTATGCCAAGATCAGGAAAGCAGTGCTTTACTCATTCTTTGACTGATTGACTGGCCTGCCTCATTCACCTGTCCAGAGGGGATACTGCTTGCCAGTCACCAGATCCACACTGACACATGCTCAAAGAAAGAGAATGGTTACTCACCCTGCAGAAATTCTGGTTCTTTGAGATGTTATAGTCAGTGGATCCCATGACCTGCCCTCCATCCCTGCTCTTCAGACTCCTCAGCTAACCTGGGCTTTGAATTGCAAGGGAACTGAAGGAGGGTTGCAGCCACTCACACTCTGCCTTTGTACAGGAGCATAAGGAGACAGAGGCACATGTTCCGCTACTCAGAAAAACTATAGTCTTGTGTGCATTAGGTACATATGCACCTACAGAAGGAACCACACTGATTACAACAGGGATAGTGTCCCTAGCCTCTGTTTGCCAGAAGGTGGGAATGGGCGACAGGGGATGGTTGATGATTACCTGTTCCGTTCATTCCCTCTGGGACATCTGTCATTGGCTACTGTTGGAAGACAGGATACTGGGCTAGATGGACCTTTGGTCTTACCCAGTATGGCCGGTCTTATGTTCTTGTAAGCTGTACAACATCTTGACGCATCACAGTTACTGTAGGGTAAGTAACTGTTCTATATTCATGCTCTCTATGAGTGACCTGCAGCAACTGCACAAATCGTTTACTTTGCATTCTTGCAAATATCCAAAGTGCGCAAGTTTTTTCCAAGCACATCTGCACTATGTATCTCAGATAGGTGGCAAGGGAAAATGCAGGGGCAGAATCAGCCCCATTTCAGACACCCATGGCTCGAAACGTTATTGGAAAGGAAGAAAAACTGATATCCCTCCTAAAGCACCTCTAAAGGCCAGATGTGATATTTTCCTTGTCCCTAGAATTACTGCTTCATCTCAACACTTTCAGGCTCATAACTCAGTTCACTCAAAGAGCTTAACCATGAGACATCTGGGGGAAGAGTCATATTAGTTCACAGGCTGAGGCCTGATCATCCAGATCGTTTCATTTTCACCAGGTATCGGCCTTTTGGCAGTTCATTTTTTGAGCTATTTAAATCTCTTTCCCCCAAAATGGTTTCACCTTATAACAAAAGCAGCATTGCAGTGCAGCTAATTCGTGCATTTGTCCATCATCATCCTAAGTGCCTGATCCAAGGAACAAAAGTGCTGGGTTTTTTAGTCCCAGTATTTATAGGTGCATCTGTTAAATGTATAAATGATATAACACAATGTATTTAGCCTGAGGTTTATGGTTTATTGCTATTTGCTTACCAAATTATTTTCTTATTGACTTATGTGTGAAATCCACAATTTCAGTATGACTTCCACCCACTAACATTAATAAGTGATTTATATGTACACAGCAAAGTGAAGAATTAGATTATTTGGTGGTAAGGGAAGAAAAGGAAAGTCTGGCATTTATGTGATAATTTGCAATTGAAAGCTTTATTCATATAACAGCCACACTTCATAAAGATTAGGTACATGCTGGTGCTTTCAAAGATACAATTCAGTTGCCTTCTTTGTTACTTTTAATCAGCACAGTTAATCTAACCAGCAAAGAGAAGGAAATAGTCCCAAATTAATTAAAAATTAAAAATTAAATTAAATAGTCCCTCTTAATTAAAAAACAAAAAGCTATCATTCTCTCAATATGCCTTTAAAAGATGCCAATTCTTAGTTCTTATGTACATATATATTCATTCCAGAATGAATGTTTTTTACTTGGGACAAATCTTAACCAGTATTATGTTAATATATGTAGTGTAATAACAGCAAAATCACTGCAAAAAATAAAGTGTTGATGGAAGAATCCTGCAGAGAGACATGTCTGGTAATATTTTTCTCCTTTGCTTCTGTCTTTAGCTCAAAATGCTGGAATCTCAACTTTGTACAGGAATTCTTACGGTGCACCTGCTGAAGATATCAAACACAACCAGGTATGTGAGTACAGTAAAACACTAGTTTCTATACAAAAAGTGAAAATGTATTCACTGTTTTGCCTGTTAGAACAATCAAAACCATTAAAATAATAGTGAAGTGCGGACAGGGAGAGCTACATTCTGTGCTTTCGCAAGTGGTAGCAATTCCATTGACTTCAAAAGTGCTGTGCTCTTCTGCACCAGCAGGGAATTTGGACCCAAGTTTCCAAAATGTGGAGCAGTTTATAATGGCATACAGTACAGAGACCACACTACATGTGTATATGTAGCATAGACCAGCGCTTCTCAAAGCCGGTTCGCCGCTTGTGCAGGGAAAGCCCCTGGAGGGCCAGGCCAGTTTGTTTACCTGCCACGTCCGCAGGTTCGGCCGATCGTGGCTTCCACTGTCCGTGCTTCACCGCTCCAGGCCAATGGGGGCTGCGGGAAGGGCGGCCAGCACATCCCTTGGCCCGCGCCACTTCCCGCAACCCCCATGGGCCTGGAGCAGCAAACCGCAGCCAGTGGGAGCCGCGATCGGCCGAACCTGCAGAAGTGGCAAGTAAACAAACCAGCCCGGCCCGGCAGGGGCTTTCCCTGAACAAGCGGCGGACCGGCTTTGAGAATCACTGGCACAGACTACAAAAACACAGGATTCTGCCTAAGTAATTCCACTAGCTCATCCAGTAGTGGGAACCTCATGTTTTTTTGATATCTTATGTTCCATGAATTTGGTGGTGTGCATCCAGTTCCAAGCGGTCAGATATCTGCACCACAAAAAACAGCACTGTCATTGACACTACAGTAACTCCTTACTTAACGTCATCCTGGTTAATGTTGTTTCATTGTTACGTTGCTGATCTATTAGGGAACATGCTCATTTAAAGTTGTGCAATGTTCCCTTATAACGTTGTTTGGCAGCCGCCTGCTTTGTCCACTGCTTGCAGGAAGAGCAGCCCATTGCAGCTAGCCGGTGGGGGCTTGGAACCCGGGTGGGCCGGCAGCCCCCCCATCAGCTCCCCGTTCCCCTAAGTTCCCTGTGTGGCAGCTGCCCAGCAGGTTATCAATTGCCGGGCAGTTCAGCTGTCCCTCCCCACACTGCCATGTGCTGCTCCTGCCCTCTGCCTTGGAGCTGCTCCTGGGAGCCTCCTGCTTGCTGTGCGGGGGAGGGAGGGGGGAAAGGGGTGCTGATGTCAGGGTGTCCTCCTCCCCCCTTCTGACCCACGACAGGGTTCGGGGAGCTTGCTGGCAGCAGCTGCTGTCTCAACTTGCTAATCTACTTAAAAAGGCAGTGTACTTAGAGTGGGGTCAGCATACTTAAAGGGGCAATGTGCCTCTCTCTCTCTCACACACACACACACAGTGTGTGTATCTGTCTCTCTCTGCCATGCTGTGTCTCCTCCCTCCATTCGGGCTGCCTTGTAGAGTGTGAGGCTACATTAACAACGTGTTAACCCCTGAGGGCTCAGCCGAGTGCTAGGTCATCATTTAGCAGTAAGGCATTCCCTGGGAAATATCCCACCCTCTTCCACCCTCTGACTTTACCAAGCTTCACAATCATCATTGCTGCGTACAGTGTTAAACTGTTTGTTTAAAACTTATACTGTGTGTGTGTATATATATATATATTTTCCTGGAACCTAACCCACCCCTATTTACATTAATTCTTACGGGGAAATTGGATTCACTTAACATCATTTTGCTTAAAGTAGCATTTTTCAGGAACATAACTACAACATTAAGCAAGGAGTTACTGTACCTGGCTCTCCTTGTTTAAAAGTTTCAGCAGAGATGCCAAGTAGTGAATGGGCCTAGAGACTGATCTACCCTTTCATCCTTAATGTGAGCTGTTTGTGTTATACCTGTGTTAACAGAGGCCACTAGCTTCCATGTTTGTCAGTTGGACATTTTCCACAAACATCAATTCGCACAATGTTTTTTTGAAAGAGGGAATTTGTGCATGTGTGTGTACACATACATAGACCCACACCCTAAGTAGAAATCCTTTAAAAAGACTGTCCATTGAAACCACAGTGTGCATTTAACAGCTCATGAAAAAGTAGAGCAGTCTGTGTATTTAACTGGTACCATAATTGGCAAGTTAATACCCTTTATTAAAATCAAAAATGAACTTCCAGAATATGGATGTATATGGAGTTGGGGGGATGATACAAAAGAGCATTTCCTGAACCCCCATCAATAGAGTGCTTTCAGATTATTGTGGAATTGTTTGTTTGTCAATTGTATTATATACAATGCTATGTTGCACTTAAATAGCACCTTTCATTCCGAGATCTCAAAGTGCTCAAGCACTAGTTAATTTTTGCAATAGCCCTATGAAGAATGTAAGTGTTATATCCATTTTCCAGAATGGGAAATGAGACAGCAAGTTTAAGGCAAAAAATTTTGAACTTGGTGCAAACTTGTCAGGTTCATAAATCCATATTTAGTCTTTTCTGCAGAAAATTTTGGCTGAGAACCTAACATTGTGATTCAGAAGTGCCCCCACAATTCCTAGTGGGATTTGTAGTTTGAAAACCAAAAGCTTTTCAGTTTCCAGGTGTTTGGTATCTTGATGAAAAGTGTAAATGTAAATTTTCTGGGGAAAGCAGCACTTTTTGCAGAAAAAAAATGTTTAATTCAAAACCCAATTTTCTGTCAAAATGTGATTTTGATGAACATTTTGTGACCAGCCCTAATATTTAGACATCTAAATAGGCCTACTCTCAGAGGTGCAGAGAACACACAACTGTTAGTCATTTGTTAGCTGTGTGATCAGCCATATCAGTGAGCCAGGCATCAGTGTTTGGCGGGAATCAACTTTTCCATGTTTGCAGGATTCATTTTTTAGCACCCAAAGCTGCACACTGAAACCATGCCGCCTTGTTATCAGGTAATCTCCAGGCATCAGGAATATATCCAAGATCGAAACATCAGGGGGAGGGCTCCTATTAGCATCCACTATCAAATTGGTCCTTTGACTCACCTCAGATTAGAAATTCTTGATACGGGGCATTTCCAAAGTACGTGAGCTCATGTAGCACCCAAGGAGTTTCGTTTCCAACAGCAGTCAGCATTTATGATGCCCATTACAATTAGCCTATGTGAGGCCAGTATATTCCCCCCCCAAAATGTGTCTTTTGGTGAATAAGACATCGTCTCAGGTCTGTAGCTGCTTTTTTAGCGATTGTATTCCATTGGGTTGGGTATAGCTGTGTATCCAAATCTCTACTCCAAGGCATCCCAGGTTTGAACATTTGGGCTGAAACAATGTGTCCAACCCCCTGGAATCCAGGTGTACTGAAACCATGGCTGTTGTAATAATACTGAGCCCAATCCTGTGAGGTGCTGAACACCTCCTGTAATGTGCTGAGCATGCTCCTCTCACATTAACTTCAGTGGTAGCTGATGGGTGACACCGGCACTCTGCGCAGGGGTCCACGTGCGGCTGCACTGCTTCCCCTGCTTTTAAATAGCGAGACATCCAGGGACATGGCGTTGGCCATGCTGCTGACACAATAGCCGTGCAGATCTCCCCATGCAGCAGCATGTGAGGTCATGTCATACTAGGTGGCGTGTAGTGGGCTCGGCTAGAGCGAAGGGAGAAAGCAGGATTTACATGTGGAGTTCTGTGATGGCTCTGTGAGCTAGAGCCGCCGTGGGAGGCTCTAGATGAGGAAGAGTCTCCAGAGGCATTATGCCTGTGCAGTGGGAGAGCAAGCGAGGGAGCATGGTTAGGGGAGGCAGTTACTACACTTCTTCTGCAGATGTAACCTGTACTTCTGTCAGGACTGCGGTGCAGCCATGGCCTCGTGAGGCCCTGGCCACATGCCACGCCAATGCTGGGACTGAGAACACTGCAGTCAGCACTGGCCAGTTTCCCTGCCAGCTGTCCCAGAGCACTAGTCACCAAATTACAGCTGCCTTCTGTCCAGCTGCACAGGGGAAAGCATGACTGTGTCTTTTCCCTCCTCTCCAGTGTACCCACACATCATAAATTAGCCTCTACTGTACATACAGCATGTTAAAAACATACCAGAATGTCTCCTGTGGGATGAGAGTACATTCAATAAGATTTAAAGGTTCTTGGTTTTTTAAATGGTGTTTAAAATTTCCAAAAATATTCACAACCTAGGATCAGGTGCAGCACTGTGGGGGATCTAGATTAATAGGGGATTTTTTGCTTCCTCTCTCTCTCTCTCTCTCTCTCTCTCTCTCGTTTACTGGAGCCAATCAAGGGACTCCTTAGAGGAAAGAAAGGCCTGGGAACAGCACTAACACAAGCTTAAGTTACACATGCTCCTCATCAGAAAGTGAGCTGTGATCTCTAGCGTTTGGAAAAGGACAGATGTTTAAAGGGATGCAGTGGTGGAAAGTTGGTTGTAGTTACATAGAGGCTGCAAAGCAAAAAGAAGGGAGTTCAGATTCATAGACTCTAAGGCCAGAAGGGACTATTGTGATCATCTGGTCTGAGCTAACTAACACTGGAAATATAACTTCCCTGAATGAATTCCTGCTTCGACTCCGGTGGCTGTGCTTGAACTAGAGCATATTTTTTTAGAAAAACATCTGATCATGAAGATACTTGGCACCGGTTTATAAAATTCATCTTCTACTTTAAATTTCCCCTATCGAAACTTTGAGGCTTGGCTGTGCAAAAACAAATAATTGAAATAGTTTGACTTAGTCTATGCGATTGATTAGGAAGAGCGTTCTTTGATAGCCTTGGATCTTGTGTATCTATGATGGGAAATGTGTCCCGTCATAGATGCACAAGATACAAGGCTATCAAAGAACTATAACAGTAATGCAAGACTGACGTAATATTTAAATGTTAGGGAATAAAGAGATTAGGGAATAGCTCAATTTAAAGATAGGAAAGGGATATATTTTAAGGCATTAAGCCCAAAACTTTCACATATGCGTGCCTCAAATTAGGGTCCTCAATCCATATTTAGGAATTTAAGTAAAGCAATTTGTAAGAGTGCAGAGCACCCATAAATCCCACTAAACTCAGGGCTTGGCTACACTTGCAGCTGTAGAGCGCTTTGGGTTAAACCAGCCTTCGGAGAGCACACTAGGGAAAGCGCTCCAGTCTGTCCACACTGAGAGCTGAAAGCACACTGGCATGGCCACATTTGCAGCACTTGCAGCTGCACTGGGAGCGGTGCATTATGGGCAGCTATCCCAGCATTCAAGTGGCTGCAACATGCTTTTCAAATGGGGAGAGGGTGGGGTGAAGTGTGTTGTGTGTATGTGGGGGGAGAGAGAGTGCTGAGAGTGTGTCAGCACGCTGTCTTGTAAGTTCAGACCCCGCTCCTTCCCCCGCCTTTCTCTCACTCACTCAAAGCAAACATTAGCTGTTTGGTTTTTTCTCAGACCAGATAAGCAGCTGGCACTCTGAAACTAAGCTTTGAAAGGGCCACTTCCGTATTCCTCCCGAGTTCACAACAAAGACAAGAGAGGCCATTTCAGTTAATGGGATTATGGGACGTTTCCAGAGGTCAATCAGAGCGCTGTAACATAACTCCTCGTTTACTCTGGAGCTGCAGCGTCTCACCCAATACACAACAGCCGTTAATCCTCTCCTGGAGGTGGAGTATCAGGAGCACTCCAGCCAGGGAGTTAGAGCGCTCTACGTGCCTTGCCAGTGTGGACGGGGAGTAAGGTAGAGCGCTCTGGGAGGCTTTATTGCGGTATAACGTGCAAGTGTAGCCAAGCCCCCAGTGGGAACTGCTGAGTGTCAGCATCTGTGAAAATCCAACCACTTTTATTATTTAGGTGCCTTGATACTAACCTTTAGTCACCCAGGTTTAGAAATTTTGGTCTGAGTCATCTTATTTCTGTCTTAAAAAAATGCATGGGCCAAAGGTTTCCCCAAAGAAAACTTTGTTTAATTCGATGTCTTTATTAGACATTTGAGTCCTGTGATGATGTCCAAGTATACGGACATCTGAGTAAGGGACTGAACACATCAGGGTTTGTAGTAGACGTGGCTGCAAGCTACATTGTTTGGCTCCAATCTTCCAGGATTATGGCTCAAACCTACCACTAGTTCACACAGCCTAATCCTAAATTTTATCCCCTTTGCTGTTTAACTACCTCTTTTTAAGCAAAGCGGCATCTGTTAGCAGCAGTAATAATTATGAGTATAAAGCATTACTGGCAGCATTCTTACTCCAGCCTGACAAGTTGCAATGAGCTGGAACTGTTGGATGTGCACCCCTTGTGCTCGTTTGTTTTCCAGTGTTACTCACACCTAACAAGCTGTGGGTGTTATCGTCTTTCTAGGTTTCAACACAGCCAGTTCCACAGGAGCCCAGTAGAAAAGATTATGAACCGTATCAGCCGTTTCAGAATTCGACAAGAAACTATGATGAGTCCTTCTTTGAGGATCAAGTGCATCATCGCCCACCTGCAAGCGAATACAACATGCATCTGGGACTAAAATCCACTGGCAACTACGTCGACTTCTATTCAGCTGCTCGTCCCTATAGTGAACTTAACTATGAAACAAGCCACTATCCAGCTTCTCCAGATTCCTGGGTTTGAGGCTTGGGCAAGACACAAATGCTCCAGGAACTGTGCATGTGCATGCATACCACAAGACATTTTTTTCCCTGCAAATTTAGTTTGTTAAAGCCTGTTCCATAGGAAGGCCCTGATAACCAGTGTGGGAAATTTAAGATATTTTAGAAGGCTAAAAGAAATGAAAGTTAAACATGGAAGTCATTAGAATGATAAAGATATATATATATATATTACAGTGTGGGACAACTTTACTGTTGGCCTATAGAGTCTAAAACAATGGTGCTGTACACTGAATGTGGCTGAAGGAAGGAGGGTGAATATGACAGTGGATGTGGGTCAAGAGTTAAGCACAAGACACTAAGCAGTTTACATACTTTATGGGGAACAGCTTCTCACACTTTGTTTGATCTCCTTATTCATTGTGAATCTAGGCTTCAAGTTGCATTTGGGGTTTCCTCTGTACAGCAAGATGTTTCTTGCCTTTTGTTAATGCATTGTTGTAAAGTATTTGATGTACATTACAGACAAAAAAAACCAAGTGCATTGTGTATATTACACCAATGCCACAGTGTTTCTTCATCTATGGTTCTAAATATTGCTTCAATTTCAAAATTTTGAAAGATGTATGAATTTCCAGTTTTTTTGTTTTCTTTTCCCCAGTGCGTTTTAACAACAACAACAAAAAGGAATATTTAGCAGTATTGTTCGTTCTGATATGTGAATTTGTTTGTGGCAACTAAAAAAAAAAGGCATTCAGCAGTTTCTGACAATTAACATTCATCATTCCACTCTCCTTGTCAACAAAGTGCTTTTTCACTGCCTAAAATTTTAGATGTAGATATTTGAAATAGATTTTTCATTTATACCAGTTTTCTTTATGATGATACAGTGTTAAAAGAAAATAAATTACAATTGATCTGTCATCCATATTTGCTAAGAATGTCTATTTCCAAGCACCTATCATAAAAATACACATTCTTGCTTGTGTGTGTCCATGTATGCATAATATTCTGTGTGTGTGTGTGTGTGTGTGTGTGGTATAAGAGTTATTTTCATCTGCTGTTCTCCTTGTTCAAGCTTAAATTTTTTTACAGTGGAAACTCCAGTATGTATTTTTCCTCATCCACTATTGATAGTGAGTCAAAATATTAGGACAGTTCCAAGTGGAGTTATAGGGTTTTAACCCATTCCTTCATTCTTAGATGCCATTCCCTTCAAGAGCCCATCCCTCAATCTTGTTACCATGAAGAAAAATCTCAACCTAGTCTGTATTGCCATCCTAGGACCACCCACTAGCAAGTGCTACAGGCAGAAGTAGCATAATCTCTTCATGCTCCTGAGGGAGAGAGAACGTCAAAGCACAACAGGCTAGCACGGTTGGTTCTTAAATCTGGACAAGGACCCAGCACTGAGATACTGGCACAGACATTTTTCTTTTAATCATAGCAAAAATATTCATTAGGTATAAAAAACATTGACCATTTCTGTACATTTAAAAACTCAGATAAAAAATGGAACTGATAAGAGCTAGAATGAGCTTTTTTTATTATTTTTTTCCCCCAAAATGTGGAGAAATGAACGGAGATACTTTTATCTTCATTCATCTACAGCTTGGAAGTAAAAAAATTTGAATCCACAATATACAGTATTCATATCATTCAACTAACTGCAATGCACAGTCTTGACACAACTAGATCCAATACAAATGAAACGTTTGTAAATTAGTGAAGCTTCAGCACATAGTTTGGTTTAGGGATACAAACATTTCTGTGATTACTCATTGTAATAGTCTCAGCATTGCCTGAATTATACCCCAGAGGCAGGAAAAACTTTCTCAAATCCTTATCTGTATTACAGAGCAAAAATAGTACAGGTCACTGGGGCAAGTGTTGTGATGTAGACATGGTTTATCAGTAATCTAGCACTGTAGTTGAATCTTTCTGACAAATCTTCCCAGTGTATGATAAGCAACCTTAGCTCTTCTTTGTAGTAAACAGGAAAAATTGCATGGAAAAAAAAGGAAGGAGGGGCACCGTAGGCCAAATGTATATTGAGGTAGCTACAAATATTATTCATAATTTTGGACACAGGCTGTTTATATTTTCTTTATTAAGTGGATGTTAAAAAGATAAGTGACATTTGCAGCACTCTTCTGAACAAAGCACATTTTCAGTATAAAGAAAATTAAAAAAAAAAAAGCAACATCACTCACAACTTGAAGTTCACCCTGATTGACTATGCCCATCAGATTCATGCATTTCTCCTGTTACAGGCGTGCACATAGGCCTAAGGGAGCTTGGAGTCTGCATAATGCAGAAAGTTGTAAGTTTTGTTTATACAGATTCTTTGAGCTAGTAAAATGCCCATGTTGTCTCCTCTAGGATCTCTTAACCATGAGGCTAATCAAAATGCTGACCATTTGTCAAGTGAGAGATATTGGATTAAAGGCACAAAGTGGCATGAAACTCTTTCTGTCTATGTTCCTCCCCTCACCCCCTTTATTCCATTCTTCTCCAGTGGCAAGTACTCAGAATAGGGACTTTCTTTCTTGCTGTATTGAGTCTTGGGAAGGTGCTGAATTTCCTGGCTTCTTTCCAGCCCTGGCAATCCAGTGCCATCTCCCAGGCCAGGCAGGAGATGTAAAATTTTCTCTTTTTAATATTGGGGAAAATATGACCACCTACTGCTGCTCCCTTCAGCCTTGTAACAGACCACAAAACACAGAGAGCGAGAAATGTTCCAAAAATGTATAAACTGCATTTGATGTACTGTAAAATGTTGGACTTTTTTAAACAAGCTTCTTATTAGAATCTTGATTAGCTGTGTAGATCTATATAAATCTAAATGTTTTATTAAAATGTTGTTTATGGTCTGGAAGGAATGGTTAACCTATCTCAATACTAACAAAATAGCACTACCATGAGCAATACTGATTTGGGGGGGGGGGGAGAAATTGAATATGGATTCAATATTTAAAGGATGAACTATGATTTAAAATACTATATTAACACAGAAATACATTTCAACAAATAATGTATTTAAGCCCAAAAGATAAAATAAACACTGGTGTCAAATAATATGAAAGAAATATAAAATTATAGATTGACCAAAAATGTGTTTCACTGTACATGTTGCTAACATGTACAAAGACTAACTCGTATTGACATATTTTCTATTAATAAATCCTACTGTATGGTGGAGAACTGCTGTTCATAGTGCAGTGTGTTTAAATGCAAAAGTGAAAAATTATGATTAATTAAGTTGCTTTCTAGTTTGCCCCACTTACATGACCCTAGGCTTTATTCATTTTCAGCTGTTACACATCAATGCCTTTTCACCTCTAAGCTCAAAAACAACGGAAAGGCAAGTTTTGGTTGTTTTCAGCCATGACAGTTTTCATATCCCACCCTAAGGTTTATTGGTAGGGATGCTAGCAGAGTGTGTGAAAACAGCATATCTGGGAGGATGGGGCCTATTTTGGAAGCTGTGTCATCAGTGCCCATTTCACCACTGGTTATGGTTCCCAGTGCTTATCAGCAGCCAACTTGGAAAGGGTTCGTTCATTCATCTGCAGCTATAGTTGACGAACTGGAGGAATCATGTATAGAGCCACTGGGTACTAAAAAAAATAAGCATAAACTGCATGACTTGCCCCCCGTCTTTTTTGTAGACCAAACCCAGGTAACTAAAGGGGAAACTTTGTTTTAACAATGTTGAGCCATGGAGTCTGCAGCTGTCGAACACATACGCCAGCTAATGACTAATAATCTCCTTAGAACTGGTTGTATCAATCTTTTGAAGATACTTTATCATTTACCCTGAAAGTGGAGTCAGTTAAGCTAAACAACAGAAGCCAACTTCTTAGATACGTTGGTAAATTATAGACTGTACGTGCTCTATCTGCTGCAGACTGCTATACTTGCATTTGAGACACTGCTCCTGCTCTCTGCCAGTTACTCAGTCCACAGTTGCTGGTCTTGGGAGAAAGAGGTCTTCATTATTCTGCTAGTCCTTGTATTGTGTGGGGAGGAAAGAGAGGGCTGTTAACAGTGCAGAAAAGAAAAACAAAAAGAAAGTAAAAAAAAAAAACAGAACAGAACTACAAAGCCTCTAATACCTAAATTAGCAGTGTAAGCAGAGATGTGGTGCATAATTACCACAGAAGGAAAATATTCAGTGGGACCATTTTGCTCAGTTCAGACATCAAGTATTGCTAGCATGTCACTTCACTGAATATTTAATTGGAGGAATATGATGGGAACAAACCTTTAGGCTAAAGTGCCAGACACTGATTCAGGTATGACAGGGGGAAGAAAACTTGCATTTACAATGGAGTACCCACCTCATCAGTCAGAACTTCCACATTCAGCCCTTCAAGTCAACAACCTGAACAATGGAGCCTCTGTACCAGGTCAGCACATGGCAACAGCTCTAACAAAGGCAAATTGTCAGTCCAGGGCCTTAGTCCTTGATCACCATCATTTGAAAGATCTGACTACCACAACAATGCTTAAATCTCCCAAGCCAGATGATCCAAGCTGTGATTCAATAAGTAATTGCCTTCACTTATATGCATAATAATCTAGCAAAATATCATGATTAAGAGTTATTTTACAATGTGATTCCAATGGAATCTTATTGTATTGAACATAATCTCAAATGGTTTTCTTCTCCTTTGAGCCAAAGATACTAGAAGGAGGGAGAGGCCCTCTCCCAGGAGAATTCATACAATAGCCACTTGCAAAATACATAGCCTTCATCTAACGTGTGATGCAAAGCCCACTGAAGTCAGCAGAAAGAGGACTATTGACTGCAACAGACTGTGGATCAGGAATTAATATAGACAAAGAATGCTTGCTGTATACTGAAGTCATCAAGAGCCTACTCTCTGACACAAGGAAAGTGTACTTTTCTCTAGCTGTCGAAGCAAAAAATAGTAATAATAATAATAATAATAATAATGCTTCTTAGTATCAAACTTGCTTAGTCCTGGGATCTGTACCCATGAAACAACTGAGCTGTTTTAGATGGCAATAAGCATTTCTTAAAGTAATAAAGTGGCAAAGGGCCAAGTAGTTTGTCCCTTATAATTATTGCCTCATAATGAAGCAGCGCAGTTAGGCTTATTATCACTATCATGCTACAAATGTTATAGAGCTGGATAGTGTACAATTCTAAATATATACCGACTGACTGATTTTTGGGGCCTGGATTAAATTTGGGGTTTAAAAAACTCAGGTTCAATATTGCAATAGATATTTTGGGGGCATCTTCGGGCTAAAAAAATCCTCTGAAAGGTGTTTTTATGTTCTTAAAGGGTACAGTAGTCAGAGAGTAATAATGTGTATGGCCACAACCCAAACTATATAACCTTACCTTACAGCTTTGGGGATGTAAAAAATATGTTGTAACTGCTGAAATGCCCTTAGTTGGTTGTGGTGTAGGACAAAGCCTCAAACCCCAATACAGCTTTGATAAACCAAACTCAAGCTTTACAGTGTGTGATATTTATAGTGTATATAGATCATCAGAAACAGCTCCAACTGGCTACATTAGCTGGACTTCAAGAGGTCTCACTTTCCTTTAGTCCTGGATGGCAGAGCCTAAAAGAATCTATTAGCTCCAGTCACTAACGCAAAAAGACTAATATCTTCATCATGTCTCCACCTCCATGACTAGATTACTTTCACAATCACCACGTAGCTCCAACCTTTCTGTAACTTTATCTCACTACTTAAGGACTTCGCTTAGATGTAAGAGTATTTGCAGCCAGCTAATCGTTATAGTCAGATGAGAGGTTTCCGGCTGTGAACTTCCTTTTGTTGCCAGATAGGCAATTATGCGAAGAACTATAACAGTTCTAACAAAGCCGTGTAAGTAATGGTTCACTGGTCTGCTGTAATTCATAAAAACCAATTAAAGGAATTATTTTAATAAGAAAAGGAGTACTTGTGGCACCTTAGAGACTAACCAATTTATTTGAGCATGAGCTTTCGTGAGCTACAGCTCACTTCATCAGACCGTTCATTCCCAGACAGCTTGGGAGAGGTTTTGGAGACACACATGAAACATGAAACCTTAAACACTGACCACGTCACTTCCAAGACAGAGCAGGCAGAAGATTACCCAAGCTGCTGATCTCTACACACCCCAGAAATAAATCACTCTCATCTGACAGCAGTTGATGGGAGGAGTTGATGGGAGGAGTGGTAGATACGCTGGAGGGGAGGGATAGGATACAGAAGGACCTAGACAAATTGGAGGATTGGGCCAAAAGAAATCTGATGAGGTTCAATAAGGATAAGTGCAGGGTCCTGCACTTAGGACGGAAGAATCCCATGCACCGCTACAGACTAGGGACCGAATGGCTAGGCAGCAGTTCTGCGGAAAAGGACCTAGGGGTGACAGTGGACGAGAAGCTGGATATGAGTCAGCAGTGTGCCCTTGTTGCCAAGAAGGCCAATGGCATTTTGGGATGTATAAGTAGGGGCATAGCGAGCAGATCGAGGGACATGATCGTTCCCCTCTATTCGACATTGGTGAGGCCTCATCTGGAGTACTGTGTCCAGTTTTGGGCCCCACACTTCTAGAAGGATGTGGATAAATTGGAGAGAGTCCAGCGAAGGGCAACAAAAATGATTAGGGGTCTGGAACACATGAGTTATGAGGAGAGGCTGAGGGAGCTGGGATTGTTTAGCCTGCAGAAGAGAAGAATGAGGGGGGATTTGATAGCTGCTTTCAACTACCTGAAAGGGGGTTCCAAAGAGGATGGCTCTAGACTGTTCTCAATGGTAGCAGATGACAGAACGAGGAGTAATGGTCTCAAGTTGCAGTGGGGGAGGTTTAGATTGGATATTAGGAAAAACTTTTTCACTAATAGGGTGGTGAAACACTGGAATGCGTTACCTAGGGAGGTGGTAGAATCTCCTTCCTTAGAGGTTTTTAAGGTCAGGCTTGACAAAGCCCTGGCTGGGATGATTTAACTGGGATTTGGTCCTGCTTCGAGCAGGGGGTTGGACTAGATGACCTTCTGGGGTCCCTTCCAACCCTTATATTCTATGATTCTAAAAGATACTGAAGCACTGAGGAGGCCTTCTATTGTATAAGGCCCTAAGGGGCCCATGGCAAGCACCTTTTACTTAATAAAAACCCACTTCCAGCTAATGTCCATTGTTTCATTGGTAGTTTCATCTCAATTGGCAAACAAAATTTTTCGCTCACCGGGGGCACCTAAGTAAATGAAGACACCTCAGAACACACGGTACTATAACATCATTCTACTGCTGCAGGGTTTGCCATGAAAAGCAAAAATGTACCCAGCAGTCACCACACAATGAGTGGTATGTGAAAGACCAACGTAATTCATATTCCAAGCATAGAAGGAAACTAGTATGTCAGATACCACTGTATGTTAACCACCAGCAAAATCTGGCTGTTAAAGATAACCAACCACTGCAGATTATTTCTCCACCTCCCCACCCCCAATTCAGCCACCATGTGTTTATTATTGTCATGCCAGCATACAACAGATGAGTTTGTTAGGGGCATTAGTTCCTTAATTTTGTTCCAGTATCACTTAACAGGCTGACACTAACACTACAAAGTGTACATCTGTAGTGTCTGGTGAGCTTGAGAAGCTGGGGAAATTAGTCAGAAAGCAGTGAATTTGGGGGGAATTTAATGCCTAAATGATATATGTCACTAGATTATAAAGCTAGTCAGGTTGATCAAATTTGGGGCTTTAGTTTCATAATGCCATGTTAGGTTTCATATACTCTGTCCAGGAATGAAGTCACCCCAGAAAGAGAGGGGATGCAGAAACGCAATCCTTCACGGGATCCAGCCAAGTGTTCTGCTGGTGAAATGCACCTGAGTTC